AGTGTTTTGCTTTTTTCTTTGGGTTTGGGGTTGGAGTTGTGGGTGAGGGGTTTGCTTTTTTTCTTTTTTTTAGCTTTTATAGAGTGGAATTGCAAATGTCACACAAAACTGTACCATCTTGTGCCTTTTTGTCCAAGGCCATTTGGCCTGAAGCCCAGTTGTACAAGAAGCGTGACAGTGCTTTACAAAGACACAGAGCTGTTTTGTCTGATGTCTGAAACTTAATACCATGGTCTTGGGGGTGCTAAAATACTCACCATACCCACAGGCAGTTTTTTTGGTCAGGCACGATATCTGCCTGCCTCAACCAAGCTCAATATTTAGTTGAGGCACATATGGGAACCTTAAAACCACAGTTGAGGCCTTCAGTATCTTTTACAATTGATTTTAAGGTTCTTTTAATAGTCTTTTACTATTTTACTTTTAGTATTAGCAATCTTGCCCCTCTCTTCCTTAACATAATGATCGTTTTGCTACATCAGTGAGGTCATTCAACAACAGCTATGTCTTGCATAACCTAAGATAATCCTTTATTAGTCCCATAATGGGGAAATTTACAGTGCTACAGCAGCAAAGGGATAGCAAGGCACTCAAGAAAAGAAGTAACAAGAAGAGAATTAACAAACAAGGTAATTAACCTTGTTAATTACTTATCAAAGTTACATTTTGCTATCTTTCACATAAACTATTCACAAAATTAACAATATAAACAATTACAAATAAAAAAGCAAAAAATGTGCATAAAAAATAGGTAACACTTTACATTAAGGGTCGCTAATCAATCATTAAATATATAATAATCAACTATTAGTTTCCCATTATTTAGTTATTAGTTAACTCTTCATTAAGCATTAGCTATTACTTAGTAATTGATTAAGCACTTATCAATTAGTAATTAAGTACACTGTTAGTTGATAAGTTAGTTTGTGGCTTACTTACTCATTATCTGTGTGCTAATTGCTGCTTATTACATTGTTAATTAACTAATAAGTATTTTTCTTCATATAAAGAAGTAACGTGATAACTTACTAGCACTTATGTGTTAATCCCGCTAATTATCTGTTAATTAACTTTCCATCACCACCATATATTCAGTTGCTTCACTTTTCTCACTTTCGTTCTTGTTCATTAAAGATGCTTATGGTCACATCTGACCGTAAGATGAGTGCACACAAATTCACGGACGGTTTTGTTATTCATCACGTTCATCTTGGCATATCTGTATTCATATCTGGTAGGAGTGCAAAATCAAGTTGCAAAAATAAAAACAATAGAAAATTTCAATAATACTAATTTGTGTGCATGACAGTCCAGTACAAAAGTGGATGTACTTACTTTACATGCACATTGATATAAACAAGTGCTGCAACTATTTCATGTTCCATTTAAAGACACATTACGCTGTGCTTTTGTTTCATACACTGCAATAATACAGCGTTTATTTTAGGGAATTAATTACACTAAACAATCACTCTACTATGTTAACAACACTGAGTATTTTGTTGTATTTCACGTTTTATTTTTTCCAGTTGTTTTCATTTTAATACTATTAAGTTTGGTCAGCAGGGGAGCAGTGCACTCACTGCTGGACATCAAACTCCACCCATGAGCACGGCCATTAGCTTTCATGCCAAACACTGCCGTTTTATTGGCTGGCTACTGAAACGTCTGCATTAATTGGTGTGTGCTTCATGTAAATGATATGTAAATGAAGTGCTGGTAGGCTGGTTTCATGCACTGAAGCTGATTTATCATTTATGCTCAAATCTCCACTTGTTTCCACATCGTACAAAATTGTTATGAATCAGACGCAGAGCAGTTCATACCTTATAAAAGGCAAGAAAAAGGTGTTCTTTTTTTTTTACGTAACTTTGATGATTAATGGGCCATTAGATCTTTACATTTTGACCATTAATTACTTCTTAAATTCCACTTAATCAACCATTCATTGCTTCTTAAATTCCTCTTACTTAATCATTAATTACTTGTTAAATTCCTCTTACTTAACCATTAATTACTGCTTTTGTGTCCCTCCAAGTAAAGTGACAACACAAAATCAGTAATTAATGGTTAAATAAGAGGAATTTAAGAAGTAATTAATGGTCAAAATGTAAAGATCTAATGGCCATTTTGTCATGATAGTGCACGAAAACTAACATATGTCTGTTGTAGCTCAGTATTTGAGCATTATAGTTCACTGCTAATGCTTAATCCGGACATAATCGCAACTCTTTGTGAAATGGGCCCCTGGCCATTAGATCTTTACATTTTGACCATTAATTACTTCTTAAATTCCTCTTACTTAACCATTAATTACTGCTTTTGTGTCCCTCCAAGTAAAGTGACAACACAAAAGCAGTAATTAATGATTAAGTAAGAGGAATTTAAGAAGCCATTTCTAACTGTAGCTGTGTTCACAAAATAAGGAAGCTAGTTAGCTTTCATTAGCTGCTGCCACCAGCCGGCTAACGTGGAGCAGGTTCTGTGACATATTTAGCTACATGATGGCAGTCACTTCTGACATAAACACAAACAAAAACTTTTACATGTAAAGTCTATTTGATAGACATCGTTTAAACTGTATTAGCTTACGGTAGGCTAGCAGGCTACAGTCGCTAATTAGCTAGCCTACCATTAGCAGTTTGAGGAGCACCAGCTTCGTATGAGCATCAAACTTTAAAGCTAAGTTAGCTCTAACGCTAGCTTTGTTAGCGATCTGCCAAACAGCATTATTCTTATAGTTTCATGGCAATTTTTGAAGCAGCACTTCAGAAAACATCCACCTTTCACTGCTCAGTCAAAAACGAGACTCCTAGCTGAAAAAAACATCTGAAAAAGCTGCTTCATGTTAGCCGGGCTAGTTTGGTTAGCGGTAGCTTCTAGCCAGTATAGGTTAGCTAGCTTAATATAAACAAAGTCTATAACATTTAGGCTACATATAAAAGTTCTTCTTTCTTTTGAAAACATAAGATTACCGAAATCGCTGGCGTGTTGTACAAAGACACAGAGACTGCCTGATGTGAAGCAGCTGCAGCAGAACTGCAGTAAAAACAACCTACAGCATTTTAGCTCTGTTTACAGTTAAATCAGAGCTCCCGTCCACTTCTTACTCTCACTGTCACAGCCGTGCAGGAAAACTAAAATACAGCTGTTGTAGCTCAGTGTTTGAGCGTTACAGTTCACTACTAAACATTTTGACATCGCGTCTGCAGTAGCTATATGGAGAGGAAGTGAGTTTTACCCTGCTAATGCTTAAACCGGAAGTAATCACGAATCTTGTGAAAAGGGCCCATTAATCATCAAAGTTACGTAAAAAAAGAACACCTTTTTCTTGCCTTTTATACGGTATGAACTGCTCTGCGTCTGATTCATAACAATTTTGTACGATGTGGAAACAAGTGGAGATTTGAGCATAAATGATAAGTCAGCTTCAGTGCATGAAACCAGCCTACCAGCACTTCATTTACATATCATTTACATGAAGCACACACTAATTCATGCAGACGTTTCAGTAGCCAGCCAATAAAACGGCAGTGTTTGGCATGAAAGCTAATGGCCGTGCTCATGGGTGGAGTTTGATGTCCAGCAGTGAGTGCACTCCTCCCCTGCTGACCAAACTTAATAGTATTAAAATGAAAACAACTGGAAAAAATAAAACGTGAAATACAACAAAATACTCAGTGTTGTTAACATAGTAGAGTGATTGTTTAGTGTAATTAATTCCCTAAAATAAACGCTGTATTATTGCAGTGTATGACAACAAAAGCACAGTGTAATGTGTCTTTAAATGGAACATGAAATAGTTGCAGCACTTGTTTATATCAATGCGCATGTAAAGTAAGTACATCCACTTTTGTACTGGACTGTCATGCACACAAATTAGTATTATTGAAATTTTCTATTGTTTTTATTTTTGCAACTTGATTTTGCACTCCTACCAGATATGAATACAGATATGCCAAGATGAACGTGATGAATAACAAAACCGTCCGTGAATTTGTGTGCACTCATCTTACGGTCAGATGTGACCATAAGCATCTTTAATGAACAAGAACGAAAGTGAGAAAAGTGAAGTAACTGAATATATGGAGGTGATGGAAAGTTAATTAACAGATAATTAGCGGGATTAACACATAAGTGCTAGTAAGTTATCACGTTACTTCTTTATATGAAGAAAAATACTTATTAGTTAATTAACAATGTAATAAGCAGCAATTAGCACACAGATAATGAGTAAGTAAGCCACAAACTAACGACAAACTAACTTATCAACTAACAGTGTACTTTATTACTAATTGATAAGTGCTTAATCAATTACTAAGTAATAGCTAATGCTTAATGAAGAGTTAACTAATAACTAAATAATGGGAAACTAATAGTTGATTATTATATATTTAATGATTGATTAGCGACCCTTAATGTAAAGTGTTACCAAATAAATTAATGATTTTTTTTTTTAACTGAGGGCTGTTGCTGTGGTAACTCAGTCAACCATCACAGGGCACAGGCCTAATGTCAAATGTAAAGTTTGGTGGAGGAGGAATAATTTGCTGCTTAGTTCCAGTGAAAGAAGCTCCATAAAAACGTGTTTTGCCAAGTCTGTGTGGAAGAACTTGACTGACCTTCACAAAGTTTTGACTTCAGCCTCAACCTCAACCCTTGGGATGAAATGGAATGCAGACTGTTAGCCATGCCTTATCATCCAACATCAGTGCCCAACCTCCCTAATGCTCTTGTGGCAGAATGGAAGCTAATCCCAGCAGCCATGTTCCAAAATCTAGTGGAAAGCCTTCCCAGAGGAGCAGAACAGAGGAAGCTTATAAAGCAGCCAAATATGGCCAACTCCATATTAATGCCCATGGTTCTGGGATGAGATGTTCAACAAGCACATATGGATGTGATATTTGTGGTGTCCACATGCTTTTGGCCATAAATGTAAATGTTTGCCTTTACATTTCAGCTTGTTTTAATTTTTCTGTGTTTGTGTGTGAGTCACTCACCTGTGTGTTGACTCTACTCTTGGCCCCTACAGCATGTTTTAGAGCCAGTTTGATGATCACATGTAGTCTGAGCACCACCGCCTCCATATCCTGCTCTCCCCTCATGGCGCTGTCCAAGGTACCCAGCCCTTCCACGTAGCTCCTCCAGTGAGGCTGTACCTCAGCTGCACCTCCAAGGCAGGCCCCCATGGTACTGAGGCACAGAGGCCTGCATGGCCGCGCCTCTAGTAGCCCCTGGCAGTGTGGACAGTACCACAGCCTGAGCAGCGCCCGCCCACAGTCCCGGCCAGCTCTCAGGTGCTGCGTAGTATTCACCACCTCAATGCCCAGATTTAGCGCCTGCAGGAAGACACGAGTGGCTGGCAGTGAGCGAGACAGGCGTGTCATCATCAGCTTGGGGTATGAGCCAAATGCCGAGGCCTCGCGCCATGCACCCCTTAGACAGTCCTCCGAGGTGCCTGGTGTCGCCCCATTGCCTAGAAGACGGCGGTAGGCCAGGGGGAAGAGGCGAGAGAAGAAGGAGGTCACCATGTCATCCACATTAGCATCCGAGCCCAGGATGTAGAGGGACATGTCCAGGAAGAGTTGAGTGACAGCTCCACTAGCCCCGCCTCCCAAGGCAGGGAACTCCTCCCTCAGCATTGCAAGGGTGGAGTTACGGCCCAGACGCAATACCATGTCAAAGGCCTCTGAAATTGAGAGGAAGAAAAAACAGGAAGTCAGAAAGAGAATCAATAGGACAAAACCCAGAATAGAGTGCTTATTACTATTATTGGGGATGTACTGATACCATCGATGGTCTCAAATATTGGCCAGACATCGTGCTCATTTACTCAAACTTGTAAAAATTCACAAGTACCAATAACCAAAACCTCCTGATACCCTGTGATGTAAAGCTAGCAAGTGTATGCTGCTGCACTAAAGAACAAACGACTCAAGTGGCAGTGTACGAGGGACTGCTAACACAAGCGTTCCTGACACCAAGCAGTTTAGACGCAAAGTTGTTGGTCACTTTAAACATTCTGCCTTGACATATTTCCACATACACTTTGCGATTTTAGCACACAATCACAACCATTTCCCCAGTACAGGTGGAGATACATAGGCTAACAAACCAGAGGCTAATAAGTCATTTACTCTGTTTGACTAAACATAATTGCAAAGTATGAATTTTAATATAGTGATTTTTTAAAACTTTTTTTTTTTAAAGGCTACAGAGAGACCATACTCTCCCACCCATTTACATCACCGCCTGCTTTTAGTTTCAGTACACAGGGTGGTACAAGTTAACAAAGCTGCCTATTTGCTGGGAACTTGGGTGTGCAGTTTGTTATTTTGCACGACAATGCGTTTTCAAACAGTGTGAGTATATAAATCGTAGGCTTTGTCCGTACACTAAGGTCTATTTAAACACACAGTGTGAGTCACAAAAGATTATGATTTCTAAAATGGCACAGCGTATGATGTACAACCCGAAACGTGAGTTCTTCAGATGTGATTCCTGCTGTCATTGTGCTACAGGGACTATTGGTGAAAGAGACAGACAAGGAGTGAGGATCAAAACTATGAAACATACTTTACTTACAGCTGTACAGAAGTGCTTTTCTGACGTGGAACAAAACTCATTTTTCTCCACTGCAGTGATACTCTACTTTATGTAACTAACCAAGGTAACTAAAGTATATAATGCTAGCTGATGCACTTCATTTAAAATCATCTAAATTTTATTTAACTGTATTATTACATTATATTGCACTTATTTACATTAACAACTACTTAATTCTAATTAGATTACTCAGCATGGTGCTAGAATCGGACAAAAACAGTAACAGTAAAAGGTGGACTGGCTATGATCGAAAGCTACCATAAAATGGCAGAGCTATTTAGTCATGATGCAGCATCCAACCTGATTTCGTTGGCTAGTCAACCTAGCTATACAGCTAACATTTTAGCTAACATTAGCCAGCCTGTTGTTATCTAGTCCCTTGATGGACAACAAGCCAATCATTAGCCCATGGATGATATGCAAGTTAGCATGGCTAAAATGTCCACCCAAAAAACTCCAATTACACATGTAGAGCTGTGTCATGGGTCCAGAGAACACACTCAATGGAGTAAAAATAAACACTACCTCAAATAATTCAGTTAATTAACAATAACATTTCACTAGCTAGCTTGTTTAGCTTGTGTTATTGATTGTACTCTGAATGTTTAAAGAGCACAGGCTAGAGGAATTTGAGTGGAGTTTAGAGGCGATGTACCCTTGTTTGCAGCGTAATCCAGCACCAAAAGTTTAACAACATGTCCTCAGTTATGTATTCTCATTACTAGATTGTGTCTGGCTATGTGAGACTAGTTATATAAACCCATTCATAAATAATCATCAAGAAGAGTAATAGCATCAGTACATTTGAGGAAATGTATCAACTTTATCAATTTAGCAAATTTATCAACCTATTTTAATCTCACAGCAATCAAACTTCCATTTCTCAGTGGTAGACAGACTGACTCAATGGGTGGGAACTGGCCCAGTGTGTGAAATACCCCCTGGTATTCGAGGGATGTTCGCTGGCTGCTAACTCTCTTGCCATAGCGACACCGATGCTAGCTTCAATGGCAGCAAAATGTTTAGTTTAACAATTCGTCTTCAGGAAATGCTCTTGGGAAACTGGCGTCATAATTTTAAGGGACCACCCAAATTTTGATTTTGAGACATTTAGGGGGGTCCAAGAGGATCCCCGGGTCCTCAGGACCCCCTGTATTTCACACTCTGAATTGGCCTAAACTATGGGAGAAAAAAAATCACTATTCTCAGTCAGTAATTCATACAATTATTCTGACAGCTGGGAAAAAAAACTTGAGAGTGTTACCTTTCAAACCTTTTCCATTCTCACAGCCCAAAGTATGTGAGAAAAGTGCTCCTTTTACTTTGAATATGCCGTTTAAGGCAAAAATAGAGTTAGAGTTAAAAGGTTAAATAATCTAATTAGTGAAGTGAACAGTGATTCCTATGTTTAAAGTACTTGCAAAAGAACATTATACAAATAAAATTAGAGGAGGACAATGAGACAAAACTATAACAGCACGGTGCTTGAGGACATTTTCACGATACATGATAAACATCATGATATTTCGTTTTCTTGGGGTTTGATAAGTTGGAGCCAACATAACACCAACACCAACATGCATCAGTACTGGCACTAAACTGATGATATCGACGATATATTTAGAAGGGTGTATTGTTGCAAAATTTATCAGGACAACAATGAAATATCCACATATTGTCCAGCCCTATGTAAAACAGAAAAAAATCTGATAAACAGAATCTCTCACTCTGGTGCACCATCAGCTACACATATCTCTGTACTCCTGTGACTGATGACAGGCTGGAAAATAAAGAAAGTAAAGCTTCCCACATCAGATGGAAACCGTGGTTTTCGCAGTGACCTTTTAGAACAACAAAAGGCCGCTTTTCAAGAGTCTTAAAAGACTTAAAAGGGGCGCATTCATCCGGACCGGAGGCTGTTTGAGACGCAGAGCCTCAGAGATGCCGAGAAAAGAAAAGTGCACAAAGCGTAAGCCGGAGCTGAGAAATAATCAGATGCATTTGAAAGCTCTCAGTGAAGTCTTATCAGCGCAAAGGCAAAGAGGGACCACTTCCCAAATCCACACAAGCTACTGGGCGAGCCAAGAGGAGAGGCAGAGGAGATTTAGGAGCACAGGGAGAGGGAATAAGGGAGGGAGAGAGAAAAGTCAAGGCATATCACTGCCACTGAGTGAGAGTCAGACAGTTACTTAGTTATTGAGTGGTGAGCAAGTGAGTGAAAGAGAGAGATCTGTGTGATCTAAAGCAGACACAGATCCTAACCAAGCACAGGCTCAGAGATCTCAGCCGACTCATAGAAAAAAGCAGAAATAAAAAAGAGACAAATGTAATGCAGTTACACTAAAACGAGTGAGGTTGAGATTTCACCATGAAAAATATCAAGATAAAAGAAGGATTTCTTACAAAGAAATAGCAAAAATAATGTAAAATTTCTTCCAGTTTCTCTTTATTGGATGGGGATTAGGACTGAACTATATAAGGAAAATAACCACCATCACACTCTTTTTTTTTATTAATATTGCACCTGCAGTCTTAAATTAAGATCCAGGTATGTTTCTTTGGCCAAGAAACCAGCATATCCACTTTTTCTGGCTTGAGACATGTACACTGACTGCCATTTATGTTGTCATCTACACAACACATGGGTGTTTGGTTGCTTTTGACTGGTCTAACTCATCTACAGGTGGTTCACAAGCTCCATATTATATGTTAAAATATCTTTATTTTAAAATTGTTAAGACAACATTGCTAAAAATGTAAGCTATAATTAAAATTGTAGCTCTTGCAATCTGAAAATCTTTCTCTGTCAAATTGTCATTTCAATATAAAAATTGAAAGTTTCACCTTCAGTGATCCAATGCAAAATTGGTTACAGTGTATCAGACAGCTGGTTATTTGCTGTCCCTCAGGTGTATTTATATCAGCATCATTTGTTTTGTTTTTCATCTGCTTGCTTATTTGTCTACTTACAGTATTTCTAACAGAAAATCACATAAAAGCCTGCAACACTAAGTATAATATTAAATCTATCAGCATTTAATTTGTCTACTCTTTACTTTTGTGCTTCGGAAACTGTCCAGGAAGATCGGCTGCTACCGCGGGCTATGAGTCCCCCAGAACAAGGTCCCCCAGGACCCAACCAATGCTCCCCAGCTGCACAGAGTCAGCTAGAGTGCCGCCGATGCTCCTCAGAAGCCCTCAAAGAGTAGGTGTAAAGGACCCCTAGACATTTCAAAGACTTGGTCTGGTGGGACTGGTGAGCAGCAGGGTTGCTGCTCTTGGACAAAGGGGGCAGGCACTGTGGCATCAGAAAATGCCTAGTTATATTTACAATATCTGCTTTCTTCCTGACACTATTAATAACTTGAACTAAATGTCTGTTTCAACTGCAAAAAATAATTGAATGAGTTGTCTCTGACTTTTGCACCGTACTGTATGCACTGACATTTTGTGTGTGTGTGTGTGTGTGTGTGTGTGTGTGTGTGTGTGTGTGTGTGCATAGGCATATTTCCCAACTTTTTTGAAACGTGTTGCTGGCATCAAATTCATATATATTTTTATATGGCATATATTTTTCAAAAAACAGTATAATTTCTCAGTTTTCTCAGTTTGTGGAAACGGGGTTGTAAATGAATCAACAGGGGAACTGATTGAGTGAATCAGTAGATGCTTAAGTGACTAAGTTAGTGTTAGAAACAGAGAAAATCCAGTGGTGGCACGCAGTGAAAAATCCTGTCTGGTTCATTAGCTGCGCGGCCAGAGAGGCTGAAGGTGATCCAGAGGAGCAGAGACTTTAATTAGGCCATGCTGCTGGAGCGCTGTGACATCAGCATGCTGCTAAGCAGACTGTCTGCAGCCACACGCATTAACCGCCCCATCCATCTTACCCGGTGAGGCCCGCTCTCAGGGGCCCGAGCTGCTGCTACATCAACACACGCTGCATGAATATATGACTTTCACTGATGCTGTCTAGATAGAAATCACTTAGCTGTAGGCAATGTCACTGAGTAGTTAAAAGGTTTAAGGTGGCCAACAGATACTCTCATAATCAGAACAGCCTCTTCATACAGACCACCTAGCACA